TCTTGTACCATCTAAGTGGGGTCAGTTTTCTTTTTTAAAATTTTTGTCTTTTGAAATACTATTTTTTGGTTAGGTGTGGTGGCTCATGTCTGTAACCCTAGCACTTTGGGAGTCCAAGGTGGGTGGATAACCAGAGGTCAGGTGTTCAAGACCAGCCTGGCCAACATGGCAAAACCCTATCTCTACTAAAAATACAAAAATTAGCCAAAAGTGGTGGTGGGCGCCTATAATCCCACCTACTTGGGAGGCTGAGGCAGGAGAATCACTTGAACCCAGGAGGCAAAGATTGCAGTGAGCCAATACCACGCCACTGTTCCCAGCCTGGGCAATACAGTGAGACTCTGTCTCAAAAACAATAGCCGGGTGCAGTGGCTCACGCCTGTAATCGCAGCACTTTGGGAGGCTGAGGCGGGTGGAGCATGAGGTCAAGAGATGGAGACCATCCTGGTCAACGTGGTGAAACCCTGTCTCTACTAAAAATACAAAAAATTAGCTGGGCACGGTGACGTGTGCCTGTAATCCCAGCTACTCAGGAGACTGAGGCAGGAGAATTGCCTGAACCCAGGAGGCGAAGGTTGCGGTGAGCTGAGATCGTGCCATTGCACTACAGCCTGGGTAACAAGAGCAAAACGCCATCTCAAAAAAAAAAAAAAACAAAACAGCAACAACAACAAAAACTTTTATCTTTTTTTTTTTTTTTAATTTAAAATTATTTGAGATGGGGTGTCACCATGTTGGCCAGGCTGGTCTCGAACTCCTGACCTCAGGTGATCCACCCATCTCAGCCTCCCAAAGTGCTGCGATTACAGGCGTGAGCCACCGCTCCCGGCCAAAACTTTAATCTTTCACAAAATTTTTACTATTTTTAATTTCACTATTTCTCTGCTCAGTTAGAGAATCCAAGGGGCAGAAGTTTCTGTGTTTTTTACTAGCTTCTGATTGGGTTAACAGCAGTGTGCCTCTAAGAAATGGAAGCTGCGTTGGGTGAAGACAATCTTAATGTCTTTAAAAAAGAATGACCGCCATTCTAACTGGCATGAGATGGTATCTCAGTGAGGTTTTGATTTGCATCTCTCTAATGACCAGTGATGATGAGCATTTTTTCATATGTTTGTTGGCCTCATGTATGTCTTCTTTTGTAAAGTGTCTGTTCATATCCTTTGCCCATTTTTGAATGGGCTTGTTTGTTTTTTTCTTGTAAATCTGTTTGAGTTCTTTGTAAATAAATAAATAAATAAATAAAAATTTAAAAAAAAAAACAAACACTCATAATCCCATCGTCCAGAAAAAAAAAAAGAATGACAAAAGGAGACTCCTCTCAGCCCTAGGGCAGCCACATTCTTAAGAGGCTACACTCCATAACTCAGGTTTTGCTGTTATAAAAAAATTAGGCCAGGCACAGTGGCTCTCGCCTATAATCCCAGCACTTTGGGAGGCCCAGGCGGGTGGATCACGAGGTCAAGAGATCGAGACCGTTCTGGTCAACAAGGTGAAACCCCGTCTCTACTAAAACTACAAAAATTAGCTGGGTATGGTGGCACGCGCCTGTAATCCCAGCTACTCGGGAGGCTGAGGCAGAATTGCTTGAACCCAGGAGGCGGAGGTTGCAGTGAGCCAAGATCGCGCCATTGCACTCCAGCCTGGGTAACAAGAGCAAAACTCCATCTCAAAAAAAAATAATAATAATAATTAAAAATGACCAGGAGCTGATATCCACCAGACACTCCAGCAGATACAGCCATGGTGGGTATCTTGATTTATCCCCAGGCAGTACTGAAGCCCAGAACCAAGAACAAAAGTAAAGGGTGGTTGAAGACATCTCACCTCATAGTTTCCAAAGGGAAACCTTAACCCAAAAACATTCTGATAAGATCTCTGTGCCTGCCAGGTGCAGTGGCTCATGCCTGTAATCTCAGCACTTTGGGAGGCTGAGGCAGGTGAATCAGGAGGTCAGGAGATCGAGACCATCCTGGCTAACATAGTAAAATCCTGTCTCCACTAGAAGTACAAAAAAAGAAATTAGCCAGGCATGGTGGCATGTACCTGTAGGAGAACCGCTTAAAGCTGAGAGGCAGAGGTTGCAGTGAGCCAAGATCAGATCCTGCCACTGCACTCCAGCCAGGGTGACAGAGTGAGATTGAGTCTCAAAAAAAAAAAAAAAATATCTGTGCCTGTAGAAGATAAAGCCAAAACAGGAACAATTATTTTTTTTACACTACAGCGTCAGGAAATTATATTTGATTTCTTCTCATGGAAAGTATTTACAAATAGCAAACAAAACTTTTTAAAGTGCCATCCAATGCTTTGTCAAAAAATGATTACTTAGGCCTGTGCAGTGGCTCACACCTGTAATTCCAGCACTTTGGGAGCCTGAAGCAGGCAGATCACCTGAGGTCAGAAGTTTCAGACCAGCCTGACAAACAGAGAAATCCCATCTCTACTAAAAGACAAAATTAGCCAGGCATGGTGGCACATGCCTGTAATCCCAGCTACTTGGGAGACTGAGGCAGGAGAATCACTTTAACACAGGAGGCAGAAGTTGCAATGAGCCGAAATCACGGCCCTGCACTCCAGCCTGGGCAACATAGTAAAACTCCCTCTCAAAAAAAAAAAAAAAAAAAAGGAAAAGAAAAGAAAAAAGAAAGTGGAAAATTAGTCTCCTGTGGAGTGTGAAAATAATTAAGTGGCAGGCAACTGGAAAAATAATTAAGTGGCAGGCAACTATGTAGCTGTAGTTCCTGGATTTCTAGGTTTTTTTTTGAGAGGGAGTTTCGCTCTTGTTACCCAGGCTGCAGTGCAATGGCGCGATCTCGGCTCACCGCATCCTCCGCCTCCTGGGTTCAAGCAATTCTCCTGCCTCAGCCTCCCGACTAGCTGGGACTACAGGCGCACGCCACCATGCCCACCTAATTTTTGTATTTTTAGTAGAGATGGGGTTTCACCATGTTGACCAGGATGGTCTCGATCTCTTGACCTCGTGATCCACCCGCCTCAGCCTCCCAAAGTGCTGGGATTATAGGCGTGAGCCACCACGCCAGCCTACTTTAAAGAAATCTAACTCAAATGCATGTTTTTATAAATTACTGAATTGGGGAGAAACGGAATTGAGGCTTAGCCAACTATAAACTGCCAATTAACCTCTGCATACATAACCAGGAAATGTCCACCTCGATTGTACAAATTAAGAAACTATGTAACTGTACCTAACCAATTAATTGAATTTGGTTTTCTTTATCACACCTTATAGAAGTCTTTTCTTCAAGCCCCTTCTATGGATGTGTTAGGGTCACAGCAAGGCAATTCCATTGACACCCTCCCCGTTCTCCCCTGCTAAGCCGAGCTCACAGCAAAAACAGCCTCACGCCCTGCAAACTGTCAGGCCGGTATCCTCGCCCGGAAGGCTCCCTGATATTCCACACCCCTCCCCTCCTGCCGCTGTCTGCCCCGTACAGGAACACTGCAAGCCAACCACGCCCCGGCTAATGCAATCCTAGCCAGCTCTTGCACCCAAAAAACCCGCCCGACAACCCGCCAGCCAAGGGCGGCCCGCCCCGTCCCAATCCCGCTCCCCCGGAGCCAAAGCGCCCTGCTGTTGCCCGTTTCCCCATGCCATAAAAACCCCACGCCCCGGAAAGTCTGCGGGACTTCTCTGGCCCCTCGTTGTAATGGTTACTGCCGAGTTTAAAATAAGGAAACTAAGGCCAGTATAAGAACAATCAGATACCAATTTATTTACCTCCCGCGAGGTTCTGTGGTCCTAAGGAAAGGGGGCCAGAGAAGTCGCGCTTGACTTCTCAGGGCAGGGGGTTTTATGGGGGTTAGAGGCGGGCTGGCCTAGGATGCATGGGGTGGGCTGCCATTGGGTAAGGCTTGGCGGGATTTCTTCAATTTTCGCGGGTTCAGCTGTATAGTTTAGTGCTGAGAGTGCACAGTTTAGTGCTGAGGTTCAAATGCATAGCTTGGTGCTGAGAGTGCGTAGTCTAGTGCTGAATACCTGGGGGCAGAATGCAGAAGTGGGCGAGGGAAGCCCGCATGGAGGAGCCAGATGCTGAGTAATGTGTTCTGCCTGAAACTGTTATCAGGCATAGAGAGGGGTGGGTGTTGTTCATCCGGCTCTTAGCAAGGCTATCGGCCGGACCGCAGAACCTCGCCCAGGAGCCGATTAAATTTCTTTATTTTAATAACTGGCCTCAGTTGCCTCATTTAAACCTCAATTGCTTCATTCAGACCTTACACAAACAGGGGCACCTGGGTTCCAGGATGTGGTCGCACCCGGCTCTGGAACCCAGGATGGTGACCCAATTAAGCAGGATGCTAGCGCTTAAGAACCAAGAGGCAGTTTTTCTTAGAATACCACCCAGCCACCTGCAAACTTTCTATATAACCTCCACAGTCTGTAAGCCAGGCTGCTGCCATCACTGCCTGTGGTGAGGCAGCCAGCCTGGCAGGTTGAAATAAACTTACTAATCCTGACTCTCCATCCTTTCGGTCAACCTCACAGGACGACAAGCTACCTCACAGGAAGACAAAGCATAGCTGGGTACGCTACAATTTTTTAATTACTATTTGATTAAATTATTTAATATTTTTGCGGTGACTTCTCTACATGTTTAATAGGAAAAAAGAAAGACTCAGAACCCAACAGACCAAAGCTCTTCCCATTCATGAACCCGCAACACGAGTCAGGATTCTCCAGTGTCGACCCTTCCGTGGTCCCTGCACAATCTAGGAGGGACAGGGAGCTGCGGGAGCAAAGCTGCCCAGAGAGGGCTCCAGGCAAGGGCACAGTCACTGCGCAGGTAAGGGACAGGAAGCCCGGGGCCCGGCCTCAGCGCAGCTGCCATCTTATGGCTGAAGGGGGCTGAGGCCAATCTAGGAGAGAACTCCGGACGCACATGGTGGAGCCACTTTGGGGAGGCCTGAGTTCCGCCACAGCCACTTCCCACCGGTTCCAGCCAGCCCCTCCCCCTCCTTCTCGGGATCGGACCTGGCACTCTCACCATTTCCAGGCTTCCAGGGGGTCCTGGCGTCATAGCTGTGGATCTCCCAATACCTGCAGGTCACAATGCCACAAAGGCTGGACTTCTACATGGAGAGGACACAGGGTAGGAAACATGAGACATTCAGCTCCCGCGGCTTCCAGAGACAAAGGCCCCGGTAAACCCGGAAGCCGCCCTGTCCCGCTCCAGCTGCGTGTCTGATTGGACGGTTTCCAATTCAGCGTCCTTGATTGGATAACGTTGAAGGCCCTGCCCCTTCAGGACCTGAATGACAGGAGATGTAATCAGATGCTGGGCTCAGTGAAGACTGAATGACAACCTAAGCTGCAGCCTTTTCAGGGACGGACTCCTCCCTGAGCTGAGCCGAGATCGCGCCGCTGCAGGCCTCTCTGAGCAGACAGAGCCAGACTCCATCTCAAAAAGACAGAAAAAAAAAAAAAAAATGACTATTATACATTTAACCAGCCAATAACGGAGATTCTGTGTCTCTTTGCAAAGTTTGGCACCCACATAACTTTCTGGGTCTTCTCTTTATAAAGACCATACAGAATTGGCATTCACTTGCGTACTGTGTAAAGCTCTTGGATGGTACAGACAGTGTCATCATAGAGCCTAGCACACAGGTGAGGTGTGTTTCTCATGTGCACAACACAGCAACCCTTAGGATTGGAACCCACCCACACAGAGCTCACTTCGGAGGTTCTAATCTCATAAGTGGATACAGTCCACAGTTGAAATTGTGACTGTCATATGTGAATATCCAGCCAGAGTTGAAATGGTAAAATATTTCTAAACCAGCTCATAGCAGGTAAGAAATCTCTTATCCAGATTCAGCCAACTGGAGACATGTTGAGTCTCATACCTGAGCCCAGGACCACAGGTATGACCATAGGTCCATACCAGCATAAAGGTCTCAGGTATGCATAGAGTATAAAGCCCTCAAGTGGGACAGAAAATATCCTAACACATCTCAACACACAGGTGAGATTGTGACACTCATATGCAGACCCAGCTGGCAGTAATGATTATCATCCTTCCACAGCCCACTGTTGAGATTCTGAATCTCAAAACCAATAAAAAAAGACCAGCACGGTGGCTCACGCCTGTAACTGCAGCACTTTGGGTGGCCGAGGTCGGGAGTTTGAGACCAGCCTGACCAACATGGAGAAACCCCATCTCTACTAAAAATACAAAATTAGCTGGGCGTGGTGGCACACACCTGTAATCCCAACTGCTCAGGAGGCTGAGGCTCGAGAATTGCTTGAACCCAGGAGGCTGAGGTTGTGGTAAGCTGAAATCATCCCATTGTACTCCAGCCTGAACAACAAGAGCGAAACTCCATTTCAAAATAATAATAATAATAATAAGTTTCAAAAGTTGAAAAATTGACTTTCATTCTTGAATCAAGTCTACAGGTAAGATGTGAATTTCAGAATAAGATTCAGCACATCTGAGACTCGAGAATCTGTGAGTCCACTAAGAAGACACAGTCTAGAGGACGAGTTGAAGGTCTCATGCACAGATCAAGTCCATGGCTGAGACTGCAACTCCAGAACATAGATCCCACATAAAGGAGGTGTTAATTCTCATACCTGCAACCTCAGCATGTGCAGGATGGTTCATCTCATTCATGGACCTTCCTGTAGCTGCGATTGTGACATACACCTTATCTGGCACCTGAGTTTTTTGGCTCTCCTGCCTGGGCTCAGTCCACAGATTAGATTGTGACACATCACTGAACCCAGGATCTAGGTAATGTAAATTTATTCCTGCTTTGGCGCTCCTCACAGGGCGCACCGTGACATATTACTGCACCTAACATAGGGGAACCATAACCAGGTTGTGTGACTCTCCTGCCTGTGCCTTGCCCACACGGACCACTGTGACATATTGCTGGGTCTAACATAACTCTCTTGCATAGGTCCTATCTACAGAAAGTATTGTGACACATCTCTGTGCCCATCACACAGGTGACCTAACTCTCTTTTCCTGGGGGGTATTGAAAGAGATGGCTAGCCCCGCATCTAGCTGATGTGACTCTTCTCTTCTTACTAGGTTTTGCCCATGGGGAGAATTGTAACATATCATTGGGCCCAACACCAAGGTGATGTTGCTCTTTTGCCTTGGCCCTGCGCTCAAAAAGCACTGAGACGTATTGCTGGTCCCAACAGCAGGTTGGTGTGTCTTCTGCCTGGACCCCGTTCACAAGGGCATTGTGATATACCTCTGGGCCCATCAACGATTTGATGTGTCTCGTCTGTCTTGCCTAGGCTTTCTCCATGGAAGATATTGTGACATAACTTTGGGCCCAGCATCTAGGCAATCTGACTTTTTCCTTCTGCCTGTACCATGCCCACAGAAGGGATAATGACTTATCACTAAGCCCAGCACTCATAATGTAATTTTTCTACCTGATCTTCCTGACAGGAATCATTTTGACATGTTTCTGAGTTCATCACCTAGTTGATGTGACCCTTCTTATTTTCAGACTTGTTCAAAGTGGAGACTGCTACATATCGCTTGGCCCAGCTCCTGCATGATGTGACTTTCCTCTCATGCCTTAGTGCTCCCCACTGGAGTAATTTCGACATATAGCTTTCCCCTGGCTCTAGTTTATATGACTTTTCTCTTGCTCCTTAGCCCTGCTCACCTGGGGACATTATAACATATCTGAGCCCATCACCTAAGTAATGTGACTCTGTTGCCTGATCTCCTCCTCAGGGTGTATTGTTATATGTTGTAAGACCCAGCAGCTAAGTGATATGACTCTTCTCTGCTGCTTGGGTTCTGTCCAATAAAAGATTGTGATGTGTCACCGGGCCCACGTTATGTGATGTCCCTCCCCTCCCTAGGCTGTACATACATTGCTACTGTGATATGGCTGGGTGTAATGTCTAGGTCATGTGAGACTCCTGTATGGGCCCTGCCCACAGGGGCATTATCACATGTCACGTTAGTTACCTAGGTGATGTCATTCACCCCTTCCTTCTGGGTCCTGACAAAAAGAAGGATACTGACTCATCACGGGACCAAGCACATAATGATGTGATTCTCTTCTTTTACGTGGGCCTTGCATAATTTTGTTATTGTGACATATTGCTGGGTCCAAAACCTAGGAGATGAGAGACTTTTGCCTTGGACATGACTACAGAGGGCTTTTTGATATTTCCCTGCATCTATCACCTGGGGGATGTTTCTCTCCTCTGCCTGCACCCTGCCTTCAGGGAAGATTGTGACATAACTCTGGGTCCAACAACCAGGTCATGTGTCTCTCCAGCCTGGGCATAGCCCCCCAGAAAGCACTGTGAGATATTGCTGGTTCCAGAAACTAGGTGATATGACTATGCCGACCATGCCCTGCTTTTAGAAGAAAATTGTAACATATCACTGGCTGAGTACCCAGGTAATGTGACTGTCCTGCCTGCACATTTTGTTGATTTGAAGTATGAGAGTTATTATCTCACCTATGAGCTGAACAAAAATATACTTTATAGTCCCAACTGTGCATAGAGAGTGAGCAAGAGAGTTACATGATTTTGGTGCTAGACCAGAGATATGTCACAATCTTTTCTTATAGCAGAAACCAGAAAGAAGAGTCCCCTCACCTGGGTTCTTGGCCAGGGAACCACCCAGAAACTGAGTGCTGTGCCCAGTGATAGGCCACAATGCTCCCTGTGAGCAAGATCCAGGAAAAGAAAACACATCACCCTGTTGCTGAGCCAAATGTTACATCACAGTCTTTCCTGTGGGCAGGATGCAGGCAGCAGAGGAGGGTCGCATCTCCTAGGTGATGAATGCAGACAGATGTCATGAGGCTCCTGAGAATGGTAGGACTCATGCCCTGTTTACAGGGCATAGACAGGTACCTCCCATCTTCTAGGTGTTTGGTCTAGTGATATGTCACAGTACTCAAAATATGTGGGGCCTATACAAAATACAAGTGTCAGAATTACCTAGGTGCTACATCCGGGAGTATGTCATCATCCCACATTTTGGGGGGTGGGCAAAGAAAAACACGTCTAAACCATAAATGTAAAAGTATATCACAGCCAGGCACAGTGGCTTATGACTGTAATTATTTACAGTAGTTTGAGAGACTGAGGTGGGTGGGTCACCTGAGGCCAGGAGTTCAAGACCAGCCTGGCATACATGGTAAAACCCCATCTCTATTAAAAATACAAAAAAAAAAAAAAATTGGCTGAGCATGGTGCTACATGCCTGTAATCCCAGCTACTCTGGAGGCTGAGGCACAAGAATTGCTTGAATCTGGGAGGGCTGATGATTAGGTTCAAGGCCAAATAGCAAAATATGTTGGTATTTAATCTGTTTTCTCCATATATAAACATTGCTGGTCAAGAGTGTGTACAGATGTGAAGACTTAGAGTTTTCATCTCCTTTGGCCCTATCGTCCTTTGTTCATTGTCTGATCTCTGGAAGGAAGGTGGGCTGAAGGTGGCCACAGTTGTCTACGTGTGGTTATTTTACTCCTGCTGCCCTCTGCTCTTTCTTTGGCCGCTATCTTTTCCATCCCCGAAACTGAAGAGAGATATCATTAGGAAGTGGCCCGTCCTTCACGCTGGCAGAATAAATTTCTTCAGGCCCTTCACTGCCCCACTTCAGTGTGGCAGCTACTGGACATGTGTGGCTTCTGAGTGCCTGGAATGTGGCTGGGTCTACACTGTGATATGCTAGAAAGGCAAAATACAGACTTAGTTCCAAAGATATAGTTCCAAGTTCCAAATATATACATGCTACATTAATAATCACACCTTGCTCATATAATATTTTGGATATATTGTGTTACCTAAATTGTTACAATCAGTTTGACCTGTTTCTTCTTTCAATTTTTGTTTTTTTTTTTTTTGAGACAGAGTTTCGCTCTTGTTACCCAGGCTGGAGTGCAATGGCTCGATCTCGATCTCGGCTCACTGCAACCTCCACCTCCCGGATTCAAGTAATTCTCCTGCCTCAGCCTCCCAAGTAGCTGGGACTACAGGTGCGCACAACCATGCCCAGCTAATTTTTTTGTACTTTTAGTAGAGACAGGGTTTCACCATGTTGACCAGTATGGTCTTGATTTCTTGACCTCGTGATCTACCCACCTCGGCCTCGCAAAGTGCTGGGATTATGGGGGT